ATTACAGGTCGAGGCAGAGGAAGAAAACTAAAATTCAGAAGTTGCAAAAGCGAGGAACTAAACTACTTGAGAGCGACATTTTATTGCTTGCACTGGCGGCAAAGATACGTGCACGTTTGTTTAATATGATTCCTGTAGTTCTGAAATAAATTTCAGTTTGGCGAGGTTTTGCTTTCATTAGGAGTTTTCAATCGTGTGAACACCTTACGGCCGCGGAACAAAATAAAAAATCTCGTGAATGGTAAAAAAAGAATAATGTATACACTGCCTAATGTCGAACCGGTGTCAAAAAAACATTTCATAATACTTAATTGATGTGTGCATAATTAGTTTTACGTTGAATTTTGTCTGTATTGAACATTGCTATGCTTCTTCACTCTAACTGCAGAGAAGAAAGAAATACACGTGAGCTGAATTTGAAGATAACGTAATCGAGATCCTGGACAAGGATTATATTGCCTCTCTAACTCTTTCTTTAGCGAATAATAAAGTAACTTTTTTTATATTTTATACACGCTAATGTTTGTAAAATTATCTGATTACATTTAATTAAAAGAACAGGAAATAACCACAGACCCAAAAACAAACTGGAGAAAAAGAAGACTTTTTCCTTTGACTTTGCCATGTTTTTTTTTAAAGGTATTTTTGAATTTGATATGGAATTATGATCCAATTGTTTATAACTTCTACTCTAATTTAATTCGGAAGAGATGGGAAGCCACCTCTGTTATAGCACAATCGCTCCGAGCAATCGCAACAAAAGCTCGCACTGCAGAACCCATGAATTTTCTTTTCAATTCAATCACCGGAGCCGTAGTGATTACACGAGCGCGTTATTAATACCACGTGACGCACGCCACACACTCTCCGACGTATACCGACTAAATCGACCATCTACAAAGAGGACACAAGGCTCTTTTTCAAAGCGGACTAACTAACCTTTGTCTAATGCTCCATACTGCACCAAGTTGACTCTGTGTTCGCATCTGGTTATGCTGCCTCGGTAATAGTAAAGTTCTTTTTGGTAAATTTACTCGTCTAAAAAATGGTCACAGTGTCGCGCCATATTTCAAGAACGAACTGGCCCATGTTTTTTGTGTTTTTTTTTCACATTAAGACCGCAGTCAAACGCCACGAACCGACAGAGTCGATGAAATAGCGGCCAAAAGTGCACCGTCATGGCGCTCGTCGTCTTTGTGCGTCTGCTGTAGACCAACTCAGCTCACTTACGTCACGCCAATATGGTGGCGCTGCTGTCGGTATTGCGCATGCGCAGATGCTCCACTCCTCCCAAATTTGGTTTCTGCGCAAGCGCAGTGCCCACACCTGGTGCGGGCAAGGCGGGCTCGTCCAGAAACACTGTGTTGGTGTATAGCACCGGCCAAAACCCATGCCGAACGGTGAATGATGCGTGACGCTGCACTTTTTTCCGTGTGCGGCTGGTTTCGCCGGCGACAGCCAACAAACAAAAACGACGGGCGCCATGACAGTGCACTTCGGGCGCGCTGCTTTGATTAGCTCTATCCAATAGCAGCGTTCTCGGCGGTCGGAATTAGCGTAAAACGGAGTATAACATTAAAAGACTACTTTTCTTTCGCTTTTGGCGCTTTTATATATTCGTTTATTTTGATAATCAGATTTTTTGTGTTTTGAGCAATCGCGTGACAACTGTTGTTTTCGGGAAGCCCTATACGGCACGCAAGAAGCGCCGTTACCATCGTTCTTTATTCCCGTTCTCGCACCCCGCTAAGAACAAAAGAGCGTCCTCGACGCAAGGCCTATATAGCTGTCTTGAGCGTCTCCGCCGAGCCAACCGCCGGAGAAATCCCGACCAGCCGTCATGACTTCCACGGCCGCGGCCAGCCTAAGCCTTTTGCACGGCCTAAGTGGGTCCCCAGAGCGGCTCCCGAGAAGCCTCGTTGACCTCACCCAGGGGTCCGAAGCACCCTCGAAGTCGATGCCGCCTCAGTCAAGGCCCGGGCACTCCTCCTCCTCGACCCTTCACATTGCTATAAAGTCTTCGCAAAGCCGGGATTGGGAAATGTCTCGATTGGGGCCTAAGATCTCGCCGGGTCCTTGACCCGATAAACGTTATCAGTACCGCAAGGACTCCGAAGCGTGCAGCGGCACTTTGAATCGTGTCAAAAGCGGACAAGAGGCGTTCGAAGTGGTATTACATTGCTTTCGAGAGAAAAGATAACCATGCCTTTTGGTTTGAGCCACTAAATAAGCGATTCGCATTAGAGCAAGGACACTTCAACGATATTGGTGCTTAAACTTATTGTCGTCAGTTGTCCCAAGCTTTACCTTAAATTGCAGAAAACTCTTTTTTGTCTCTTGGTAATATTAAAACAGTCAGTGACGGGTCAGACCGATCTAAACACCAAGAAGCTGCGATTTTCAAATTGTGATGATCGGTGGAACAAAATAGGATGCCGTAAACCCAACCGTAGCCTATTTACTGGCTCTAGTCGTGAGGATGTAGGGAGTTAACTTGGTCACTTAGGTACAACCATTGCCCATCGGACTTAAGCTCGACTCGTGCAGTAGTTTTTACTTAAGTACGTGCTGGAGTGACGCCTAATTCACATTCATCAGTACAAAACCACTATAATCTGAAACGAATGTCAGTGTTTCCCCTGCATGTTACAGAAAAGGCAGCACTTCCTTTTCTTTGTTCCCCTGCCTTTATGTGAACGTATTATAAATGTTACGTTTTACGCGCCTAATTAGTCAACTCGTATATTAATCCCGAATGGCTTAATGAGCTGGAGTGTTGCTGAATGTCTTCCATTGTTCATATATCTCTTATTTGCTCTTCGCCATCTTGTCGCAAGTTTTAGAGCACAGCTCTTAGGCGCCCGTTTCCGGCTTGAGCACCGTCGCCGTCGGCGTAACCGCGCGGTGCATTATGGGACGCGTGACGTCACTGATGACGTCATCAGCGTCCGCATCGTCATCGTCATCGGCATCGTCATCAGTGACGAAGACGATGACGTCTCTGGTAACGTCCCTGATGACGTCATCACAATGACGTCATCGTGATGACGTCATCATCACGTGACCTCACACCCTTCTGAGGTCATGTGACCCTCATGAGGCGCCGGCGACGCCGCTTGGACAGAGGAATAGCAGACGGGATGAGGAGGACGGAGGAGGCGTATACCCTCCCCTCAGAAACCTTCCCTCCTCCTCAAGAGCTGCGCTCTAATTCGGCGTTACAGAGAGTTGTAAATGGCTTTCATTTTTAAACGCGCTTTTAATATCATTCACTGACAACATTCCCGTTTCGCGAAATATAAAAATGTCGAAATTGTAAACGTATGTAGCAACCACCCTCTTCGAAATTGCTCGTACCATTTCGCGATTAATCCCTCTAGATTTCATTAACATTCTACGGATAGAGTGATTCGCTGCATAGCCGAATGCCCGGCTCTGAAGCCAAGAGTGCTACGTTCTGCATAGCTTCGATAAGTTTCGTATCACGCGGGTATTTAGAATAATCCGTGTTCCTGTATCCCTGGCGACGGGCAAATCGACCCACCGCTCCGCGAATCGCCTGCCAATAATTGATGTCGGCCCGGAGATGGGCACGAAACAGAAGCGCTCCACGGGGAATACCGATCGTTAGACCTAATTATCTCGCCTTTATGGCCTCCAAGACAGGGATTTGCAACTGGAAGAGAGTATTACCCCGTAAAAAAAAGAAGATCCCGCGCTAACCCCACGCCGCAGGAACATCTCGTCCAGAATCTCTGCGCAAGCGCAAACTCGCCTCCTCTCTCTTTGAAAAACACAAAATGCCACGGTGACGTCACGGAGTTCGTAAACTCACGCCGAAGTGGTGGCACTAGTTCTCCGAGGGGCCACTAGAGGGACTGGATTGAAGAAAGGGCCTACGTCAACCACGAGGAACGTTTTCGATTTAATGGTGGCCGCCTCCCGCGGAGGTTGTTTTGCACGCTAGGTTCTTTTTGGGGTTGTTAGAGACCCTCGATTTCAGAAAGGTAATAACTCAAACCACGGAGAGCTGTCGCAATTTAATGGCGAACACCTTTTTGCGCAGATTGGCTACGTGTTCGTACGCATGCGTGCGTTGTCGTGTGGCGAGGATGATAGCGGACCTGGAGGGGCGGAGAGGTGGCGCAAATACCTTGTTGGAAGAATATACTGTGCAACTAATTGCACGGTTGCGTTATAGACAGCGAGTCGACAGCGTTGAACCCTCCCCTGGCCATCCGGGTACACTCCGCGTACAAAAATAAGGCGTGCGCATCGCGTGCCCCGAGGGAGAGGACAGCAGCCACGGCGCACCGAGACACCGGATTTGCCGAGACAGCAGAGACGGCTGTCTCCGCCGTCTGGACGGGTTTCCACAACGATAGATGGCGGCAGCCATGCCTCCCAATTCAAAGAGAAAACCTCCGAGGCTGCCAGAATCCAGCCGTTCCAACTACGCAATGCCTGTTGAGTAAGAGGAATACCCTATAGGTCACTCATAAGGTGAGAAAACGACAGGGTGTCTCTTTCGAACTCCCGGCCTCATGACGCGCTCGTTGACATTTGCCGTGCTTTCGCTGCGAATGCACGCTCGAGGTTCAACGACACGCCGAAGCATCACCGAAGGTGGAAAGCTCGCGCTGGAAGTGGTAAAACCTAAAACACCCGCTAACGTTTTTTTTTTTTTTTTGCTGCCGGTGTTTATAGTAATGCATTTTGCTTTGATTATTCACTAGTCACCGGCAAGGTAAAAACGGCAAGGAGAGGATTCAGGTGTCCCGCCTCTAGTGCTAACTTCCTACCTTCGTTAATACTTCGGAGCTTCACGCCCACTCAAAGCACGGCGGAAGGCACGAAAAGCGTGCGTACCGGAGGCCTAGACAGCGCTATTTTCAGCGCTGACTAATACCGCTGAAGTTTCACACAGCTGTGAACGGAGCTTTAAGGTAGAACGGAGCGAGGTCTTAGCTTCGATTGTTCTCTCACTCCGGTCGACCCACCTCCAACGACGAGGGACACGGTCGAGTTGCGCAGAGCCCCCCGGTGGGAGGCCACGGTGCACAGGTAGGTCCCGGCGTCCTGGAGCTCGACCTGGGTGATGCGGAGCGCGGCGGGGCTCCGGGCCACCGAGAAGGACGCCCTCCCGGCCCAGGAAATGCCGATGGCGTGCTGGCCGTTCCAGATGCCCCGACGCTGCGTGTCCTCCACCATGTAGAACGGCGTGGCGTCCAGGGACGCCCAGAGAGCCGTGTTGTTGTTATCGTTCTGGTTGTCGTTGTTGTTGTGTTTCTTTTCGGTGTTCTTGGCGACGGGGTGCTTTGCCGGCGCGTACCAGAGCACCTTGGCCGGGCTGTCGTCGTGCTCGGAGTCGACGTCACATGGCAGCCACACATCTTGTCCACGCTCGCCCTTGACCACTGCATTGACAAGAAAGAAACGAAGGAATGAGAGGGATGCCTGACTGCACAATGATTATCGTGAAAAAGATTCGAACACCTATTCACATCCGTTTGCTTATATACCTTTGCTTACGTTACGTACCATAAGTCACCGAGACATCCGTGCCTGGAATGTCGCGTGCAAGACTACTCCTCGAACTTGTTGCCAAGGCTAAATACGAAGCACAGATGTCCCAGTGACTCTCGGCGCAAGCAGACGTAAGGCTTCTTTAACATAACGCAACGTAAACAAGCGGTGTTCTTCGAACACGCCTTGACGGTATGTTTTGAGCTCATACATCGCACAAACAATAGGCTGTTCGCTGCGAACGTGATCACACACTAATGTGGAGACACGCTTCGGGCATGTATGGAGCATGTTCGCTTGATACTCATGCGCGCTTTGAATATGTCTGCAAAGAGCTTTTGTGTGACCAATGTAACATGAGCGTCATACAAGGAAGAAACATTGCGTAAACAGTTTGTGATACCGTATTTTGTATTATGTAAGAGCAGTGGTACCGCGTTTTTACATATACAGGTAGGCCACAGTGTTCTCTACACAAACTTCAATTCGGTACAAAGAAAGTTCAAGTTTTCACCGACTGTGCATTTAGGAGATACGTTCTACCTCGTAAGATTTAAAGGAGTAATTCTTTCCCGTGAAAATGAAAAACAAAAATTAGACAAGTGTATTTGCCGAAGTCAACGGTGGATGTGATAGCAGACGACCGAAATATCGATGAATGCAGTAACTTGGGGCGCCATCTCCCGATAGGCCCAACTAGCAGACAACGAAGTGCGTCGTCTGCTAGCAGCATACGTCACTGCGAAAACGTGTGCAAGAAAAGTGAAGAGAGCGTTCAAGGGGGACGATACTCTCGTCTACTATGCCACCTATACGTGCATTGGAGACTCCAGCAAAATCGACGGCACCTGTAGCGACCGAAACCGAAAGTTGTAAAGACAGGTTCGCTCGCCAACATCTTCGATCGAATCAGGTATTCCTGGTGCCTGGCGACCTAAAGACGAAACCGTGAAAGAAGGTTCGAAAAGATTCGATGAAAATCGTTAATATACAAGGCTACGCTGAAAAAGTACAATTTCACCACTCATGTTGACTCGCTCAGTCTTAACACATATTACCTGCCTCATAACCTGCACCAACGCGGCGCATAATGTTACCCGTTTTATTAAGATACCAAAACTAAGAAAACCTTGGCGATATGTAAACTTTACACGTGCATAAATGCGAATACACCTTTTTTTTATTTTTTTTTTTTTTACTTATGCTTCCAAACGCGGTTTATTGCAAGCGCGGAATTTCAAAGCCCCGAAAGCGGCAACGCTTTCGGCGGCTTTAAGGAAACCCTTAGAAGTGGTAATCCCTTTATACAAAAAGCGGGCGCTTCACGCCGATTTCGCTACACTTTCCGTAAAACAAACAAAAAAAGAAAGCTCTGAAATACGCGCAGCTGCTCGAACTGCCTGGCTTCGTTACCGAAACGCATCCACACACATTCCCATGAGAGGTACCTAAGCAACAAAACAAAAACAAAAAAACAGCAAGATTATCATTTCTTGGCGCGCGCTCGGGGGCGGGCGGGCGGGCGGCTTTTTCCGAGCGGACCGCCTGAATTCCCAATGCGAGCCCCACACACGCACCTTGAAGACAAGCAGCAACGCCGATCGCGTTCTCGAGAAAACCCCTAACCGCGAGAAATCTCGTTTAGCATGCGGGAATCCACGTGGGCTCCGATGAAAGAGAGAAAAAAAAAAAGAAAAAAAGGCCGCAGCCGCTTCTCACCAATCTAATATAAAAACGAACGGCAACGGCGTTGCGCGCGTTTCATTTTTTATGTTTTTATATTTTTATTGCAGGGGCTTCGGGAAGCGCCGGAATATCTTGAAACTGGATAGTTACCACGAAGTGCCGGGAAAAAGCAAGAAAACAATACATATAAATAATTTCAAAAACTAGATGTAAATGAATGTTAAGTGAACCCACGTTAGATTATAGAGCGTTGACCAAATATTAAATCGAAACGTAGACTCGTAGATGGCCGTTCAAAGGGCGAGTAATGGAACGTACAGGAAAGCGCTCTACACCTAAGTTCGACACTCTGCCAGAAAGTCGGCGAGGTCGGCAACCACCGCGATCGGCCGGAGCACTGCGCTGCGATTGGCCAGCATCAAAAGTCGAGCGCGGTGGGTTTGGCCAATCGCAGCGGTCGGCGATTTCGGCGAATTTCTCGTCGACTATCGAACTCAGAATCGCGGAAGGGATATATTTTTACTCTAAAAAAAAAAAAAGCCCGTGCGTCTACTTTCTCGCACAACACTTGGAGAGCCAATCAGTGCAACTTACGCGGGCAGCTCAGCGAATGACGATGCCGAAACTTGCGTTTAAAGACCGACGACCATTTCGCGCTTTCCACTTTTCCCTCGCTTCCTCCTCTCCCCCCTTCCACCCGGTCCACCGTCGCCTTTTTCCTCCTTCCCCATAGTGAGGAGGATCTTCTTCCTTGCAGAATATCGAGTCTGGTCGTCAGTTTTTTAACAAAAAAAAACGCAGCCTGAGTTGTGACGTTAAAGAATGCGAAACGTCACGCTTGCATTGCTTAATGTCACAACTCCGAGTGCGTTTTTTGGTTTAAACATATGCTTCGGCATCGTCATTCGCTGAGCTGCCTTCGTAAGTTTCGGTGATTGGCTCTACGAGTGTTGTGCGGGAAATCAGACGCACGGGCTTTTTTTAGAGTGTAGCACACCGGTCGGTATTGTAATTGCAAAAACTTAAACGCGGCCGTGTAACGGTGATGTAAACAATTATAGTAGTACTAATAAACGCCGATTGTTGACATATTCAGTCGTGCGTACAGTGATTTTGCGAATAAAAATTAGTGACGTCCTCGGAGGAAAGCAACCAATTGAGGTCTATCTCTTTGTTAGCAACGTTAATGGGGAGGTTTAAAAAAGACGCAACGTCGGTATGTTTTTTGTAATTAGGTTACTCAGATGCGAGCCTGTCAGTCGGTACTTCACGCTCTAATAAATCTTGCACATCTACTTTCCCTCGACCCACGTGGGAGAGACAGTCGCTGCAATGTACGGAAGAAACTCGGCAAATGAGACTAAACCAAAAACAAGTTTAGACCTAGAAAAGGAAAAAACAGTCCGAGTTGTTATGACACATAGCACGACAGGCAAGTGAAATCCCATGCTCAACGTCACAATGCATTCTTTTTGTTCTTTTTTTTTTTAGGTTTAACGAGGTTTTTGGATTTGTCATTTACCGAGCTTGCTCCGGATAGATTGCAGTGATTTGTTGCACGAAGTGCCTTATGGGAAGGTACACATACCTCGCATTTTTTCGGAGTGCGCGTGGCCAGATTGGGCTACATTATTACAGCTCCGTCTTTCTTTTAACGACTCCGGCCGCAAGCGCCGCCACGATCCGAGGGCGCCAAATCGAGCAACGTCAACAGTGAATCCTTGCAATGAGCTTATCGTCTTTGTGCGTTCGATTTCACGGACTAAACCAATAGATGGACGGATGGGGCTGAACCCTTTCAATCGGGCGGCGACTGGCGCCACCTAGCCGCATACACGGTAAATGCGCCACGACCCTGCGCATTTTTTTTTTTTTCTACGCGTGATTGTTTTACTTGGTGGTAGCGAGCACCACAAAGACAACGAGAACCGATGCCGTCACTTTGGCTGCCATAAGCACCCGAAGTGACAATGCACTTTGGGTGCTTATGCTTGATCGGCTCCAATCTTGTCTTAGCGTCCGGTCGCGCTTAAAGGCAAACAAAAGTGTACAGATCGCACCAACATTTCTTTTAAATATATAGAAAATTGAAAGCTCAAGTGGCGGTTGCAGGTTTCTCGTAACTGCACCGCGCTCTGTACGTTCCAGCTTTTTTTTTTTTATGATTGTTTGTTTAGTTTGACTCGCATGCGTTAATCGTACGCATATTCACTTTCTTACTCTCAGAATTGCTCATACATCGAGGTTTCGATGTTTACAAATAAATAAGAAAAGAATAAATAAACGAGAACGTCCATCGAGGCAAGACGATCTCTGTACCGAGGCTCAGAAGTCGAGGAGATCTTCGCTTTGACGATGGTGGAGGGGGCTTCTTGGAGATTGCCTCACCGTTCAAATGTTAGGCGAGCAAATTGCCCCGGGACGAATTTGGAGCCAGAAAAGCGCGACCGAGAAAATCGCTGGCCGTTTGTCTCCGAGAGGTGTGCAGCAAACCCCAAAAGCCAAACACAAAAAAAACTCCTTTTTTTTTTTTTTTTTATAGCGCGCTGTAAAGTTCGTTTGCACAACATAAAAAAAGAAATGTCTGCGGATACTGTTTTAGGCGTGTGTTTTTTCCTTGCATTTTGTTTTTTGCTTGCTTATTTCTTGTTTTTTTCCTTGTCCTCTCACATTTAGTCACACAAAAGCTCTCGGTCGACATGTTTGAATCCTACACATGCACGATGTAAACATGCTTTGAAAATGCTCGAGACGTGTCCCCATATAATTCTGACAAAGATTTATCTGCGGATAATTCTCTGCAGATACCTCTTCTCCGCAGATACTTCTGCAGAGAGGCTTCGCGTCTTTTGCATGATGTACGGAGCAGTTGCATTGCGGCTTTTTGTAGAGACATTCTTGGTCTCTTGGCCGGTGCGCGGAAACCGAATTTGGGAGGAGTTAAGCGTCTCTGGGTATGCGCAGTACCGACAGCAGCGCCACCGCGCTGTGTCGTGACGTCAGAGACTCGAGTCAACACCTCCTAGACAGCTTTCAAAGCATGCGCGTCACGTGACATGACGTCACGTCCCGGAGGCCTGCACGGCCGCTGATTAGATGCGAGTGTCGCGTCAAGCGTTCGCGTGGGACTCGTTTCCTACCATACAGCCCCACGCGAACGCTGACGCGGATCTCGTATCCAGTCAGCGCCCTTGCAGGCCTCCGA